ACCAATTTATATCTCAAGTGGGATGGAAGGTAGGAAAGGGGGATCAAATATCTTTCTGGTATGACAAATGGACCCCTTTCTTGAACCCCTTGTCAAGTATGTGTCTTCTAATACTGACTCTTTTCTTCATGCTTAGAGTTTTAAATTTCGTTCCATTAATGGAAATTGAAAGATGGATCAATTACACATCTATCTTCAACTTGAAATCATTAATCATATCCTTTATGTGCAACTGCCAAACCCGAATGCAAATGATGATGTCATATATTGGAGACATTTAAATGATGGGCAGTTTCACTATTAAAATCTGCTTACTAGGCTATTATTGATAATCACAGCGACATCAACAATTCTGAAATTTGTTCTAGGATTTGGAAATGCCAACTTATGAGAAAATCAAATCCTTCTTTGGAAAGTGGCTTGGGATTGACTCTAATCTAAATTTACTTACTCAAAATTGAGCTAATCCCTCCTTAAGAATTGCCCCTTTGGTTGTAACTCTCCTGACTCAACTATTCATTTTCTAAGAGACTGCAAGAAATCTAGGGAGGTATGGCTAAAATTAGTCAAACAATCTAAAATAAACACCTTCTTTTCTTTTCATTTGCAAGATTGGATAATTTGAAATGCGAAAAAAGATACAGGTAATGCTAAAGCAAGAAATGTTTCTAGTAGAGACTTTTTGTCCATGTGTGTTAGAACATCTGAAATGAAGATGCAAATACATCTACTCTAAAGAAAACATACTTGACAAAGACATTGCATTCACTAGAATCCAAGAACATTCACAGTGATTATTACCTTCAATCTAGAATCAACTTCTTGAACCAGCAATGTGATAGAACTAAAGCGAAATGGTGTTCTCCGAAAATTGGGTTAGACTTGATACGGATGGCTCTGTTAACAATCAAGGTACGGATTCTTGTAGAGGTCTCATTCGGAATGATCAAGGCAACTGGATCAAAGGCTTTACTAAATATATCGGTTATCAACCAAGTACGTCAATTGAAACTTATGGGCATTTTAAAAGTCTCAACATTTGTTGGGTAATGAAGTTTAGCAAAGTCATGTCAACTCAGACTCTATAGAGGCCCTCATACTAATATGCAAAGATTTTTTCCTCTAATCATCCTCTTGTTGCAGCTATTAATAACATTAGAGAACTTACTATGGGGATTAGACAATTACCTTTAACCACATTTTAAAGAAGCCAATAAATGCACTGATTGGATGGCTCATTTAGCATCTAGCGATATTTTAAGTGTTCAGATTTTTGATAATCCACCCTCTGGTTGTGTGAATATTTTGCACACTGATAAGACTTAGATTGTCTATCTGCACAAGTTAACGCCGTGGCCTACTACTAAAAAAAGAATGGAAAATTAGATAATTCAACAATGACCATAGTGTTGCATCTGATGACATGTGTCACCTTGAATAACTTAAAAGAGAGAAGATATCTTTAGTAATTGCAAAAGATTATGTTTCTCTTTAGTATTATTTGCATTGTAACATCTAATGACACATACTATCTTGAACAACTTTAAGAGAGAGACGATATCTTTAGTAATCACTAAAGATTATATTTCTCTTTTTAATAAATAAACTGTGTAGCATCTAATGACACGTGCCACTCAAATAACTTTAAGAGAGAGAAGATATATCCTAATAATCATAAAAGATTAGATTTTTTTCTTTAGTATTATCCACAATGTAGCATCTACTAATGATAGGTGCTCTCTTGAACAACTTCAAGAGAGAGAAGATATCTTCATTAGTGTTATTGATAGTGTAACATCTTATAAAACACATGTCGTCTTGAACAAACTTCAAGAGAGAGAAGATATTTTTAGTAGGTTATTCATACTGCAACATCTTATAACACATGTCGTCTTGAACAACTTCAAGAGAGAGAAGATATTTTCAATAATGGCAAAAGATTAGATTTCTCTCTTCAATATTATCAACATTGTTAGAAGCTACTTACAATGTATAAAGAAATTACAATGGGAAGACTATGCAAGAAAGAGAAGAATAAAGGAAATGGTTGGGCCTACTGGTTAACTTAGCACATATAAGGAATTAGATTCCGTAGACAAACTTTTTTTTAAAAATTTTTTTAGTCAAACGAACAACATATCAGTGTAACATTAGGGAATGTCATTATAACATCAAGAAATCTAAGCTTGTGCAACGATGGAACCTTGTAGTGAGGACAAAAATAAAGAGAATTAATGGGGCATTTAGTCAATGTGAGCAACATGTCTAAAGAAATTTAAGGAATTAGATCATTTGCAACTGTAAAATTATGCATTAAGAATGGGAGGAGAATGTCATATTATGTATATTGCTCTCTATATTTTACTTGAGGAATTATTTTTAAATAAAGTCATACATATTTGTGAAAATATTTGAAGTCTTTGGAATTTAGTTGTAAACAATTTTTATTGTAGAGTGACACATGTCCCTTGAAGTTTGACCCACAACTTTTGATTAACGATGACTGGTGGTCGGTGGCTATTGATCCGTGACAGGTAATTGTTGATTGGTTAACAAACTATCAAAGATAATAATTATTTTTTAAAAATTAAATTAAATATGAATACCTTCATATGTATAAGTTACTCTTCTAGATTTAAGAGTCAACTTAAAATTAGATTTAAAAGTAGACTTGAGTATTCTTTGCCCCTGTCAACTTGTAAATTGAAGAAGTTGACTTGTAATTTAATAGGTAAAATTTTAATAACCAACGCAAAAATTATGTAAATTTAGTTGTAAATAAAAGAAATTGACTTGTAAATCTGTAATTACATATTTAATTACAATTAGCCTCTTAGATATACAATACCTTATCTAAGATTACGTAAAATCTAAGATGTTGAAGTCAATCTCATTCATATACAAATCAATTTTAAGATTTATAAGTGAATTTGCATAATTCTAACGTTGGTTAATAAATATTTACATATAGAATTACAAGTCAATCTCTTACATTTACAAAATTACAAGCTCTTCTCTAAAATTTAAAATGCAAACTTTGGAATTTACAAGTTGGCAAAGAGGACAAAGAATAACTAAATATATTTATAAATACTTTTAAATTTGGGGTTTGCTTGTATATCTAGGATACTGGCATGTAAATATGAATATATTAATATCTAATATCAAATTTTTTAACATTAAATGTCTAGATTTATAGGGATTTAATATTAGCTAATATGATGGAATTATATAAAATGTTAGCTAATCTCCATTGAATATTAACAATTCATAAATTTAAATTTGATTATATCTAAATTTTTATTTCATTAAAATTTTTTTATAATTTAAAATTTTTCCGTATCCTAAATATTTTAAAATTCAATCCTTTTATCTTCTTCATAGTTTTATTAACTATTGGACCTTTATTACTCTTGTCTTTTCATTCATCTCTTGCTCTCGTGACTTGTCTTCATCAATTGAAATTATAAGAAAGTTAGTTACTTTCAATATCACTTTGACCTTTTCTGTTAAATTTTTTTATACTTTCTGAACAAATGATTTTAAATTTAAAGTTTTTAAATCCAAAATCCAAACACTACCTAAAATAATCATGTTCGTTGACGAGCCTTTGATTGACCAACATGTTGGTCACTAGTCAACATAAGTCAAAAGTGCTGGGTAAAAGCAATTTGAAATCATTTTCACAAATTTACGGATCTATTAAAAATTAATTTTCTTATTAAAAATATGTAGATTTTCCTCTTGATATATTTACTTGTTTTTTTAAAGGACATTTCTACATGAAATTTGTACCCTTTTTAATAAATTTTTTCTTGATTTAATTAAGTTTATATATATATATATATATATAATATCAAATTGTTGGCTTGCCCTTCTATTTCTGGCAAAAAAAAAAAAAGAAGAAGCTTGCACTTCTAATTCAAATATGTATAATCTCTTACTTTTTAAGAGTTTTTACATGACCTAATAGAGTTTTAAATAATCAGTGTTCATGCAAATATTTCAACACCTGATCAAGAAGTCTTAGAACATAATATCATCCTATGTTTTAAAATCTAGACTGGATAGCAAATTAGAAATGTCAGTAGGTCACGGGTCTCATGGTTTAGCCGGTTGGATTGGCGGGTGAATCGGTAACCTAATAATTAAATAAAAAATAATATTTATATGCTTATAACCGTGTGTGTTTAAGAAATAAAATAGAACAATACAACATCACAAGTCATTAATACAACAACAACACACAATATTTTTGTTCATATGACATTTTTATACATAAACAAATAAATTAATAAATCAGAAGTAGATAGAAACAGAAAGTCAATCAAAGCAAAGAATATATCCTTCTAAGAGTCGAGTTTGTGGCATTCAAGGATAAATATTTAATAAAGCCCATGTGCAATCAAATCCTAAAGGGTAAAATACTCACCAAGTGGTCAGCTAGGGGCAACCAGCATCCAAAGTTAAAAAAAGAGTAAAAATACTAATAATGTTATATGAGTGGGTGCCAAAGTGACCAAACT